CATCCATCCATCCATCCATCCATCCATCCATCCATCCATCCATCCATTATTTTTACCCACTTCTTAGTCAGTTAGTGAAACCAAATTAATTTGCTTTAATCACTGAGTTTATTGTACAAAAGTCTTGATCTTTCAAATCACTTTCTAATAATTAAATCGTCTTTGTCTTTCAGAAAGATTGTCCTGTTGGAAAAGACACATTTCTGACTCTCGTCTTTCAGCTATAAGCAAACAACACGACACCATCACTTTAAAATCATTAAACTCTGCTGAAACCCTTGTGTTTTCATTAGGATCTGTCACATTTCAACAAGCAATTTTGTAGAATCAACACTGTGAAAATGGTTGAAACCTGGATCTTTTCCATGAAGTGATTTTATATTTTAGCCAATACTGCCACTTTGTGGCAGAAATGAACTGAATGAGCTGCACCCAGATCTGCAAAATATTTCCTGACAAATAGAAAAACCACAGCCCTTCCCCAGGTTCAGTAATAATATGCGTTTTCTTTTTTAATTTCATATTAAAACTGCCATCATGTTGAAAATGATCACAACTCAGATTATTAGAAGGGAACAGGAAGTCATGTCTCAGTAAAAAACTACATCATTAAAAAGCTTTTTAATTGCGCTTTAAATTTTCTGACAACACAGGACTCTGATGTTGGAAACATTAGCTAAACACGTCTGTTAAAATTAAAGTCCTGGATGGAGTTTTTCTCTTTGTGTTCACCTACTGACAAAAAGTTAATGTTTTAATCTAAGAGGAAAACTGAAATATGTAAGGATAAACAGTTTATTATTGTTGTGTTCAAGAAACGGTTTATGAGAAACAAACTGTTGCTCACGTGCAGTTTAACAAATATATTTAAATGCAACAAATTTAAGTATTGGTGTACATGAAAGGTATACTCACAGCAAAGGAAGAAATCTAACATCAAAAATATCTGAACTATATCTAATGCTGCAGTTTGAAAGATTTTACTGTAATAGTTAATATGCATTTCTGAAATGTGGGTTCACACTCACTGTAAATAAAAATGTATATCAGCATTCTTTACTCAATAAATCAAAGTATAAAAATGCACCAATGCATCAACATTTTCAGACTTCTCCATACAAAGCAGATCTTCCATGGACTCCTACACTATAGATGTATTTTCAGACATTTCATCTGTTTCCATTGGTAAACAAACTCATTTAGTAGATTTTCTATAAAGATGAATCAGTCTCAAAGTAGTCACACAAACATAAAACAAGATTTATATAATTACAATAAGAACCACACACGTACCACAAGTTTTACTAATGTATATAGTAAACAGTTTTTCAAATGTGTAAGTTTTAATTTGTAAAAGTAGAAATATTATGTGCAAACTTACTGTCAAACATGTGCACAAATCATCTGCTGTGGATGAATCAGTCACCACGAGTGCACGGATCAGCTGCATGAGACTTTCTCACTGCTCTAGATTCACAAAGGTAATGCTGCGTTCAAGGCTTGTGAAAAGCTGGGACATCTGAGCTTCACCAGATTTACAGTTATTGGGAAATTACTCATTTCTAACTAGCTTATCACGAGCCTTGAACGCAGCATTACTTTTGTGAAACTGGTGAGGCAAGAAAGTCTCTGAAAGAAAACTCGATGACCCCTGACCCCTGACCCCTTTGATCCATATCCAGTATTGATCAAAACTCAACCAGTGATTTCTCCTGTCGTTGATCCAGCCTGTTCAGGGAGGACCAAGGTGCACGTCCACCTACCGGGACTTAACTGTCCAGAGTCAGCGTGCGACCCTCGCAGGCCCTCTGGCCGAACAGGATCTGCCTTGATGAGAAGAGGTCAAGAAGATATCCATCTAGAAAATGTCTAGAAAAAGTTTCCGCGAGTTGAGTTACTTTCCGCTAGCCACCTTCGTCCCGCAACTTTACAGCATTCCCACCTCGTTGCTTCCCGGGGCCACGTATCATGCGCCTCACTGCCCCCTTCCTCCCTGCTCCGGCAGCAGAGGAACGCTGTAGAGCTCCCAGTTGGAACCACAATGAGTGGATGGATGGATGGTGTACCGCCGTGGAGCCTTCTCGCACCTCTAGCTGCTGCAAATCCTAATGTTTACTCTGGTTCATGTCAGAATCAATGAACATTTCAAGCGTCAGTCAAAAATTGCGTTATGGATATGGAAAAAAAAAAAAAAACGTATACAAGTCGCTTCGCAAGTCTTGGAAATTTATGCAACAAACTGCGACTTATACACCAGAAAATATGGCCCAAACTTGTATTGTCTTTTAATCTGACCTTAAGTACTGAAATACTACAGGCTCCGTTTGTACTGAAAACCTGGAGTAAAATTCCAACAAACTCTGAGTGTTACTCAGATAATCTGTGTGTAAACAAGAATCTACAATGGAAGCTCAGTATAACTTTTGCATTGTCATTATTTTCAAAAAACAATTTTAAAACTAGAGTGTTAGGAAAATGAATTGTTGCTTCTTGCTGTTGTCTGCTGCATAATGGCTCCCTTTGTTATAAAAATGAAGTGCTCTGCATAAAACTCTGAACACAAAAGAAGACAACACTGTAGGTTTATTTCAATAAGGTACAGTGTTTAAAAAAGTGAAATTCCATGAGACTTTCCTGTATTCAACATTTAGTGGAGTAAAAGTTATGATGTTTGATAATAAAAAAAAAAACGCTGTCATTTTATTTTTAATAGACGTTGTTTTTACTGGTTTTGGCCTTTTGCCGCATCGAACATCTTTTTACGGCCTTCCATGCCTGACATGGCTTCGACATTCTTCCTCCAATCGCTCACCTCCACCGTCTTTTCCTGCAAAACAAACATTGCGTTTATACTATTAGAAGGTTTAAATGGCTGAGGAAGTCACGCTAACTGCAAGACGGAAAATGTTCAGAGATATTCTGGAACCATGCGAGGTAAACGTTACACTTTAACTTTTGTTTTGTTCACAGATCTCTAATAGAAAAAGTCAAACTGTGGCAGCATCACTTACAAAAAACCTGAAATTATCTACAAGCTTGTTTTTTCTTTGCATCACACGTTTTGTCTCATCTTTCTGCATAAGCCCACCTTTTCCGTGTCCTCCTTCTTGACAGATTTGAGGTTAGCTCGGAGGTCCATGGACACCTTGTGTTTGGATCCGAGCAGGGAGCGCAGGATGGCGTCAGCAGAGACCCTGACTCTTCTCAGATTGGGCTTCTTGAACTTCCCTCGCAGGTCCAGCACCTTGATGTTCAGGTCTTTGATCTGTGTGGAGAACAAAAGCAATTTAAAGTAAATTGGAGAGATTTCACGTTCTGTGACAACGCAGCGTGAATGCTGACGGATGCTCCGTGTGTTGGTACCTCTCTGGTGTTGTGTAGGACCTTGGCTTCGATGTCATATCGCTCCTCGTCCACTACGTCTAACTTGGCATGCAGCTCTTCACACAGTGCCTATGTAAGAAACAAAGAAATAAACTGAGTTTATTTATAGCTATTATTTTTAATATTCCACAAATCCCTTAATTTCATAGATAAACATAAAGTTAAACCTTCAGCTCTGTTATTGACATGCCAGACATCTGAATGGAAGGAACTTTCTCTTCCAGGTACTTTGCTTTTTGCTCTTCTTTTTCTACCATCTCCTGCTCCAGCTCCTCTTTGGCCCTTGCAACCATCAAGCTCTTAGAAAAACAAACAAACAAACAAACAAAAAACAAGCAGAGCACATTAATGGTTGGCAACGGATAATTGACCAACAATGTTAATGTTGCTAATTCTGTTCAGGACTCACCTTCAGCATGAGCTTACGAGAAGCTGAGATTTTAGATTTCCTCTGCAAAGAACAAGTTTCAAACAGAATTTGACATTTGTCCAATTTGTACCTGAAACGTGAATATTGTCTTTTGGCAATCCCTTTGTGTAATTATTCAATTTCTCTAATCTGAAGCATCATTTTCACCCACTAGTTTGTGACTACAGCTCACCGGTTGACTAGCTGGCATGTTTTTGTCCTTAATAATTAACTAGCAAAGCTAAAAAAAAAAACATTGTCAAGTGACACTTGGCTCCTGACTTTGGCTCCACCTAATCAGAAGTTCAATTTAATTTAATTCAATTCAATTCAGTTTATTTATATAGCACCAAGTCACAACAGAAGTCATCTCAGGGCACTGAACAGAAACATGCATATACTGTATACAGTATAAAAACAAGTTAACACTATTTATCTGAGGAGCAGACTGCTTTGAATTTAACTCCATCACAGAACTCTCATCTTGAGCAAGCATGAAGGCGACAGTGGAAAGAAAAAACTCCTTCATGAGGAAGAAACAAAATAGTATAAAATGAAAACTATTCAATTTTAATAATTGTTTTAAGGAAATGAGGTCAATTTGTCCTCCAGTAGTCTAAGCTTAAGGCAGCATAACAAGCCAACCCTAATTATAAGATTTATCAAAAGGAAAGTCTTTAGCCCAGTCTTAAAACTGGACAATGTGTCAGCTTCATGGACAGAACTGGAAGTTGGTTCCACAAGAGAGGAGCCCGATAACTGAAATATCTTCCTTCCATTCAGCTTTTGGAAACTCTAGGAACCACAAGTAAGCCTGCAGTCTGAGAGCAAAGTGCTCTGTTAGGAAAATATGGAACATTATGATCTCAAATATAAGATGGAGCTAGGTTGTTGAGGGCTTTGTAGGTTAGAAGTAAGATTTTGAATTCAATTCTGAACTTGACAGGGAGTCAATGGAGAGAAGCTAAAACTGGAGAGATATGATCTCTTCTACTAACTCCAGTTAAGACTCTGGCAGCAGCGTTTTGGATTAACTGAAGACTTTTTAAAGAAGTACCTGGACACCCAGAAGTGCAACAAGTTGGTAAAAAGTGGTACTGGTAAAAGTGTTTGCTTATTTCACCTAGATGTAGAACTAGTGCATCTAAATAAACAACTAGTGTAGAGGAGAGCTAGTGGACAAAAAAGTGCTTGATATCAAGGATACTGAATAAATACACAAAGGGCGTGCTATAACTTAAACAGCACTTACCTCAGGTCTGTGAACAGGAAAAGAGGAAAAAATAAAAAGAAGTTTGCTTTCAGTTAACAGTGAAATGAACTGACAGATCATATTAGCTGTATGAGAGTAAAACTGTAATGTGGAAGTATAAAAATAAACACAATACACTTACGGCTTGTCAGGCATCTTGGCAATTTTAATTAACCCTGTGGGACAAAAATAAAATTGTGCTCTTATGAAGTGGTTGACCATGGGGTCATCTTTGGACTACAGTTCCCAGGGGTGCTGATGAGGATTTCCATCAGAGCTCCAGTTTTGATTCATCTGGAAGTACGTGTCATGTTGATCCCTTAAATCGTTAAAATTAGTTTTTTTGTTGATGTTTGCATTTGAATGGACAATTTTGTGTTAATTTCAGTGAACAAGATTTTTTTACATACTGAATATATATATATATATATATATATATATATTCAATCATTATTAGGTGTTTTTTGAAACTAGCAGTCAAAACCCTTCAGTTGCCTCCTGTTGTTGAAAGCACATACCTCTATAACCCCACTCACCCTTAACATGGCAGCTTTTCCACATAGATAACATTTCCCACTCTCAATCCCACTATAGACCAGTCCCAATAAACTTTCTGACAAGCACTTAAGGTGAAGGATCCCAGCCTGTGGTAGCTTTTTTCATGATATTTTCATTTAATCACAAACAAATCCAAATAATTCAAATAAAAAAGATATAAGTAAATCTAAACGTAAAGTATTATGATGCTGGAGTATTAAATTCTGCACATACGAAATTGTAATCAATATTGGTTATTCAAAGCCAGTTGAATTGCTAACAATGGTGTGAATTTTATATAATAAAATACAAACATTTAAGTTGACCACTTAATGTATTGTTAAATGGAATATATTTACTATATATGATAATGAATTTATAATTTTCAGGTTTTGTAGAGGGAAGCTTTGCTTCTATGGGCTTCTTTAATCACCAGTTAAATTTTTGTTATTGATTAATGTATAAAAACTGTTTCAGAGAATATGGCTGATATGTCTAAAGATATCATATTTTTATTCAATGAAAACTGTACGATTTATTCAAATTAGTAAAAAAAAAAGGCAATTTTTAGTTACAAAAGAAAGTTGTCAAGAAAGTTATAGTAACGTTTTTTTTAACTGATAGTTGAAACATCCGTAGTAAATGTCTCCTGACCAGACTGACTATAGGAACAAACACACAACCTCGTCTGCAAACACTGTTGTCCTTACCTTTGTGTCTTGACGATGCAGATGCAGAGACAAAGTGATGGAGACGAGAACAAACTGGAATATTTATCTTCTGCTCCCCCCTTTTCTACCCCGTCCTCACTATCACAACAGGACTTAAATAGAAACACACACAGACACACTCACCACGAGCGGCTCATGTTGTGTTGACACATCCCTGCTGTTCTGTTCCTCATCATACTACAGTACGTGAACCCCTCTTTACCACAACAACAACAACTTCTTCACATGTACATGTCTAAAATGTTGTACTCTCTTAAACAATGACACATTTGCAGTACCTCACAGAGGATCTCTGTACAGCTTTTCCACCCAAGTGCAGACTGTAAATAACTTTTAGAAACTCTCCCCCCCCCCACCCCCTTTGTTTCTGATAATGACTGCAGACAATGCTAAGCTGTGGTTTTAAGGCAGGAATGCAGGTTTCCAGCCTGCATGTGTTCAATGTCTCATAACTAAAATTAGACAAATTGCAGCACCACATGATGCTGCCAGTCTGCTCTTTTTGCTCCAAGCTTCCTCACATGCCCCTCTTCAACACAGGTTTTAAGGGGACTGGGTAAAAAAAAAAAAAAACTAGAAACATAAGTTGCTTTTAATTGAGTTTACGTGTCAGTGGAGTTCACTCATGCAGTAAGATCTGTGTTAAGGTGCTACATGGCAAGTCATGAAGACGGATCAGAAATGAATAAAACTATATATTTTTTCATATCAAATGGTAATGTGTCCCTTAGTTAATAATCCATCCATCCATTATATCTACCCGCTTTTTTCCTTTTCGTGCCACTGGGGTCACTGGTGCCCATATACAGCAGTCACTGTGCGAGAGGCGGGGGACACCCTGGACAGGTCTCTCCAGTCCATCACAGAGACAACCATTCACTCTCTCACTCTCACCTAGGGACAGTTTAGTGTTACCAATCAGTCCAACTTGCATGTTCTTGGTCTGTGGGAGGAAACCGGGGTACCCGGAGAAAACCCACGCGTGCATGGAGAGAACATGCAAACTTCACCCAGAAAGACACCCAGCCAGGATTCGAACCAGTGACCTTCTTGCTGAGAGTTAACAGTTCTACCCACTTCACCACCGTGCTGCCCTTTAGTTAATAATATCAATAATAATAATAAGCAAAATTTGTGACTCAGTGCCACAAACTACCATGTGTTTGTTTTACATACAGAAAGAGAAGAAAGCAGAGAGAGTCAAATGTTAAACTCATCTGCCATACTTGTTTTACCTCCACAGAGCCAGTCCAGTGGAGGACAATCATGTGACTTCTGGTTCAGAGCAAATTCAGCCAAGTGCTTGATTTTCTTTGAGTATGAATTTCAGACTTGCGTTCACTGTAGATTGAAATCAACTGGAGTAAATCTTTCCAAACGGCTCCATTTGATTTAGTTCAGGATAGCCGTTCTATTATACATTTATATGTTTCATACTTCGCAATGTGTTTCTTTAAACTTGTCATGGCTGCGTTTGTGTATTTAAATAGGTTCTAAAGTTGTTTTCGTTGTAGAAGGCACACAGAAGTCCTGTTTAAAAGTCAATTTTATGCGTAGCAGGACTTCTTTAACTCCTGCAGCAGCTGTAATTCAAATTCAACCCACAAACTTCTGGACTTTGTAAATGACCAAAGGTTTTGTCCTGCTGGACCTGCTGCGCCACCTGTTGGTGCAATGAGATCAAAACAAGTGAAGCATGTTTTCCAGATGACGTTTGGTTTCCAGGAGGGAGGAGGTCATATTCCTGCAGCAGTGGACCTTCTCCTGAGTCCAAAGAGTCTGCAGAAGAGCTGAGAACCTGCTGGTTCTTCTACCTTCACAGTCCAGTCAAAGCTCTGAGCTTTATAAATAAATTAATTTAGAATGTCATTCTTAGACGAAGGCTGAAAACTGAGTTCATATGATGTGTCTCCTGATCTGTTAGACAATAACTACTATTTAGATAAAAGCTGATCAGACTGTCATTTTTTAAACTACACACACACACACACACACACACACACACACACACACACACACACACACACACACACACACACACACACACACACACACACACATATATATATATATATATATATATATATATATATATATATA